TTGGATGATGGCTCAAAGTAGAGACTTTTGGGGATTTTTGGTCTTGGGGTGGAATTCTCCATGTGGACAATCCAAGAATGGCACTTAGTCCTGAATGTGGTTGGATGATGGCTCAAAATAGAGATTTTTGGTCTTGGGGTGGAATTCTCCATGTGGACAATCCATTAGCCCTGAGTGGGGGCAGATTATGGCTCAAAATAGAAATTTTTGGTCTTGGGGTGGAATTCTCCATGTGGCCAACCCAAGAACGTCACTCTTAGCCCTGCTGCCCCCACCCCTGCTCTGGGTGTGTGTGCTCCCTGTGTGTGCTCTCGCAGATGATCCCCCTGCCCCACACGGGCCCTGACCACATCTCCTCTGCCTCTCCAGCTGTGCCTGGGCTTCCTGCAGTTTGGCTTCGTGGCCATCTACCTGTCAGAGTCCTTCATCAGGGGCTTCATGACGGCGGCGGGGCTGCAGATCCTCATCTCCGTGCTCAAGTACGTCTTCGGCTTGACGGTGCCGTCTTACACCGGGCCCTTAGCTATCGTCTACGTAAGTGGGGGCTCTGCACAGCCACCTTCCTCCCAACCCCTGTCTGGGAAATGGGGCCCAGGAGAGCCGGGAAGGGTGGGGGGAAAGGGGGATCCCTGCCCCAGCAGCCTAGGTTGGATGGTAGGGTATTGAAGTTGGAGGGGAGACAACCCACCTTGCGTTGGTCAGCCATCGACTCCACTTTATTGATCAATCAGTCACCTTTTATAACAGTGTTAATCAAGTTCATGCATATTGCAAAATCTGAGCTCANGGGGGGAGCTGGAGGGAAGCGGAGATGTCTGGAGATGTCTCCTCCTCCTCAGGACCCATTCCCTGCCTGCCCCAGAGCCCCTCAGCACCTCCCTGCAGCCCCTTCCCCCTCTGGCTCTTGTTCCACTGTGGTTCCTCCTGGAAAATGGACTGGAACAGCAAAGTTTTGACTGAATTTTATGGATTCTGGCATTCTGCCTTTCCTGAGGCAGGGATGTTTTTCATAACAGATTTATATGCTCTCCTGGTGTCTTTCTCTTCTGTTTCTAATGGGTAAATGTTCAGAAAAGGTTAAACCCCAGTGTGTGCCCAGTGCATGGCATCAACCCCCTGAATACAACCCCTGCCCTGCTTCTTCCCCCTCCCTGGATTACTGGGAATGACTTTTTTCCCCAAAATACTTGTGCACAAATGTGAGACTGTAGATGTGCCTTTATCACTGCCAGATTTTCTTCCTGAATCAGTTCTGTTGTAGGTGGGGCCTATGGTCACCCAGACCCGAAGGAAAACAAAACTAAATCAACCAAATTCTGAGTGGGAAAAAGAATTTGTGCTCAAGTGTGCCAGCTGCAGAATCTGGGGTCCTTTGGTGGTCAGTTCCTGGTGAGGTCCATGGGCTGGACTCAGTTCTGAATACAACCCCTGCTTCCCTGCCCCTGCTTCCTCCCCTCCCCACATTACTGGGAATGATTTTTCTCCCCAAAATATTCGTGCCACAAATATGGGACTGTAGATCACTGCCAGCTTCTCTTCCTGAATCAGTTCTGTTGTAGGCAAAGCCTGTGCCATCCAGAGCCAAAGGAAAACAAAACTAAATCAAGCAAATTCCAAATGTGAAAAAGAATTTGTGCCCGAGCTGAAGATTCTGGGGTTCCTTGGTGGTCAGTTCCTGGTGTGGTCCATCAGCTGGACTGGGTCCTGAATAAACCCCTCCTTCCTTTCTCCTGCTTCCTCCCCTCCCCACATTACTGGGAATGATTTTTTCCCCCAAAACACTCATGCCACAAATGTGGGACTGCAGATCACTGCCAGCTTCTCTTCCTGAATCAGTCCATTTGTAGGTGAGGCCTGTGGCCATCCAGAGCCAAAGGTAAAACAGAACTAAACCAACCAAATTCTGAGTGGAAAAAAGAATTTGTGCCCAAATGGCCCAGCTGAAGGCTCTGGGGTCAGTTCCTGGTGAGGTCCATCAGCGGGACTGGGTTCTGGCACATTCCCAGTGCCAGGAGGCTGCAGGGAGTGACCAGGGCGTGCGGGGGTGGATCTGCCAGTGCCCATGGCAGAGGGGAATTGTACAACATCTCCCGAAACACCTGAGCTGAGTGAGTGACAGCAGCAACCTCCTGCTCCTCAGGGGAGCTGGTGTGGTGTGGGGGAGAGTTCAGTCAGGGGCAGCATCTGGTGCTGCAGGGCCTGGCACTGGCACATCTGGCACTGGCACAGCTGGCACTGGCACAGCTGGCACCACCACATCTGGCACCCAAAGCACAGCCCTGTGCCAGGCAGGTCTCAGGGTAGAACTGAGGCTCCCCTGCTGACCCTGCCGGGCCTGGGGTCCCTCTCTCCCCGCTGCCCCAGGGCTCCTGTGGCACCTGAAGGCTCCAGTCCAGGGCCATGGGATCAAGACCTTGTCCTGGTGTTGCAACCAAACCCTTGCACCTGTGCCTGCGCTCTGCTGCTCTGGGGGACAGGGGGGAGCTGCTTTTATGGCCCTTCCTTGGGCAATGGGGCCGGGAGGGGGAGTTTTGGATGGAGATTCACACGGGCTTGGCAAGGGGTTGGACCTCTGAACCCGGTCCTGGAGCAAACAGCACCGAGGGCTGGGTGTGCAAGGAGAGGGGGGATGGAGAGGGGCAGGCCGAGGAGGAAGTGTTATTTCAGCAGCACTGATTTTTAATCCCTAAAATTAAGAAGCAGCTGGCTGAACGGGACATTTGTCCATCTGCAGCCCTGGGATCAGTTTGGGTCACACCTAAGGCAGGGGTCAGGTGGCTCTGCCACCAAATTTTGACTCATTCCTTGGACTGGAGCTGCTGTTCTGTGCCTACGTCAGTGCAGGAAAGTGGCTTCGTGCCAGGGGCTCCTATCAACACCAGGCAGGAACCTCAATGTGACTTTCCTCTTCCCAAGCACAGCTATCACCAGCACGGGGCAGCAGATAAGGGCTCCCTGAGCGTGTTTGCAGAATGAACTCTGGCAGAAAAGGTCTGGGCCTGGCGTGCACAGCCTGGCCTGGGCCTGGCAGGGCTGGGAGCAGCAGGTCTGCACCAAGGGGACACCCATGTCGTGTTGGGACAGTGTTGGTCACCCACATCACGTTGCTGGAGCAGAGCAGCTCTGCTCTCAGGTGTTGTTTGCTCTGATATCACATCCCATTTGTGTACTCAGTGAAGTCAAATCTCACATTTTTGAGCATCACCCACTGCAGGGATGGGCTGCCTGAACACTTGTGAGCTCCTGGAGCTCTTCTCCCACACTTTGTCCTTTATTTCCACGCTCAAACTGGATGGGAGATCTGGAAAAACCTGGTCCCTGCAATGCAGCAGCTGTCTGGCACCCCGCTCTCCCCTCCACACTATGGAATTGCTCTAAACCAGCTCTGCAGCTTGCCTTGGGCTCATCCCAGCAGCTCCAGGCCCAGCTGGATTTGCCTTTTGTTCAAGGAGCAGCTCCTCGTGCTCTTTACTGCCCAAATCTCCGAGGTTTCAGCTGCTGTTTGATCTGGGCAAGGCTGTGATAAGCCAAGTCAAGAACTTGACTCTGTCCGGGACGCTGACATCATGAGCCTGTTTGTTTAAGATGGAATTTAATCATGGGGATATTTTTTCCCCTCTATACCCGCTCTGTTGATTATTTTTTTTCCCCCGATTGCCAACACTTTCACTCAGCAGGGGAATTTCATTAAAGAGCTGGGATTTAATTGGCTGCTGGGGTCTGTCTGGTGGCAGAAGGGATGGAGACCAGAGAGACCACCAGGGATTNATGAAGATCTGCAAGCCACAACAGTTTAGGTAGAATAATAGTGAAGTTATCATGGGGTGGAAAAGTAGATTTTGGGGTTTTTGGTATGGGGGTTCAGGAGGCAAGATGGAGGGAACTGGGTGTGCCCAGCCTTCCTTCTTCTTCTTGTTGTCCATCTTCTGCTGTGATGGTGGCACTTTGGGATTGGTTTAGAGTAGAAGCTCACTGTCTAACATAGGTGATAGGTATTGGGAAGTAACTGTAAATATTGTACAGGTAGTTTTTAGTATAAAGACATAAAACCACCCCAAGGGCTGGAAACAATTGCCAGCTTTATTTGACGAGTTACAAGCCAATAGTGAATGAATAACAGGGTGAAAATGTAGACTTCTGGGATTTAGAATGGGGGTTCAGGAGGCAAGATGGAGGGATCTGGGTGTATCCAGCCTTTCTCCTTCTCCTTGTTCTCCATCTTCTGCTGTGATGGTGGCACTTTTGGATTGGTTTAGAGTAGAAGCTCACTGTCTAACATAGGTGATAGGTGTTGGAAAGTAATTGTAAATATTGTATATGTAGTTTTTAGTACAAAGACATAACACCACCCCAAGGGCTGGAAACAATTGCCAGCTTTGTATGAGGAGTTACAAGCCACAAGAGTTTGAATAAAATGATAGTGAATTAATCACAGGATGAAAATGTAGAATTTTGGGGACTTAGAATGGGGGTTCATGAGGCAAGATGGAGGAATCTGGGCATGTCCTGTCCTTTGTCTCCTTCTTTTTCTTGGCCTCCATCTTCTGCTGTGATGTTGGCACTTTTAGATTGATTTAGAGTAGAACCTCACTGTCTAACATAGGTGATAGATATTGGGGAGTAATTTTAGTATAAAGGCATAACACTGCCCTGGGGGCAGGCAGAGTGCCTGGACTGTCTTGCTGGACAGACCTCGGCAGGGCAGGAGAAAATTTTTATAGATAATATACAATAAACAACCTTGAGACTGAGAAATGAAGAGCCCTGACTCCTTCTTCAAGCGCTGGGCTGGGAAAAGAGACTTTCTAAATTTTCTCAGAGTCACTCTGACAAGCTAAAGATCCCAACAAGTCCTGTCTGTGTGCAGGGCCCTGGTGTGAGGTGNACATTTTGTTCCTGAGGCTTCGGCTTCTCAGAAGGGACAAAATCCTAAAGAAAAGGATTTTCACTAAAGATGTCTGCGACACTGCCACAACCTCTCCCCTGTGCTCTGAGTGCAGGTTCCCAGAGCCCACGGTGCCCCTGGTGAGCAAGTGGAAGGACATGGTGGGCACGGCCTTCTCTCTGGCCATCGTGGGCTACGTGATCAACCTGGCCATGGGGAGGACCCTGGCAGCCAAGCATGGCTACAACGTGGACCCCAACCAGGTATGGCAGGGCTGGGGCAGCCAGGGGCTGCTGCCTTTGCTCTCAGGCGTGAAGGAAAGAGCTCACAAAGACGTTCAGACGTGCTGGGCTCGGAGCAGACGTGCTGCTCCCGAGGAGAATCCGTGGCTTTGTGCCATGTTGGGGGCAAAAGGACACGGCAGAGCCCCGTCCTGTGTGCTGGAGAGAGGCTGGAAGAGGGAAAGGAGCTTTAGGCTGGGCTCTGTGCCTTGCTCCCCTTCCAGACTGAGTGTTTTGGCAGCTTGAGGTGCATGCGCTGCTCAGGGAGCGGAGAAAGACCTGGATTGCTGGTGTGTCACCCAGATACTCTGAGAGAGAGGCAGGCCATTAAATAATCCTCTTTTGTCATCCCTGGCACGGTGGCAGCTTTCAACAACAGCCACACATACCACATGGAGCCCTGCCCTGAGTGTGTCAACAGATGACAACGTGTTTATGTGGAATTGTGCTTCCAGGTTTCCCTGGCCCAGATCTTACTGGAAGGAAAAAGTCTGGGATGCACTGCAGGAACCCAGAGCCTGCCCAGGCCACATAAACCAGCCTCAGGCCCTCTTGCCATGTGTGTCAGCAGGAAGGGCAGCTGTCCTTTCTGATTCATTCTCCACATCTCCACAGGAAATGCTGGCCCTGGGCTGCAGCAACTTCTTTGGATCCTTCTTCAAAATCCACGTGATCTGCTGTGCCCTCTCTGTCACCCTCGCTGTGGATGGGGCAGGAGCCAAATCCCAAGTTAGTTCCTCTTCCTCCTCCTCCTCCTCCTCTCCTCTCTGCATTCCCTCTGGATCACAAAGTGCAGCTCTGGAGAAGTTTCACTCACAAGTGCTTCAGGCTGCTGCTCTTAAAGCAGAATTTTCAGCCCATTTTGGTCCCTGAATTGGGCACAGAAGCAGAGCTCTCAACCTGCAGTCCCCCTCTGGACTGGGCAGTGAGGGAAGTTTGGGGTTATCTGTGAGATCTGCAAACCCTCTGCCTGTTTTCAGAGGCAAACATCCTCTCCCATAAAACGCTGCAGTGCCCAGCTGTGCCCCTGACCTCACCCCGGGGAGCTCTGAGAAGCCCTGCTGTTTGCAGAAGTGATTTTCTTCCCTCTTTGCAGGTGGCAAGTTTCTTTGTGGCTCTGGTGGTCATGGTGACAATGCTGTCCCTGGGAATCTACCTGGAGCCTCTTCCAAAGGTAACACAAACATCTGTGCAGGCCGAGCCATTGCAACACCCATCTCCACACCCAGACACGGGCACAGCCTGGCTCCAAAAAACCCTGATGCAAACAGAAGCACGGGACAGTTTGTTCCTGGCCTGGGGAGCTGTCTGCAGGGCTGGCTGGAATCACACAATCAGTCACACAATCACAGGCTGGTTTGGCTTGGAGGGGACCTTAAACCTCATCCTGCCACGGGCAGTGACACCTTTCACTGTCCCAGGCTGCTCCAAATCTGTCCAAGCTGGCCTGGGGCAGGGATGGGGCAGCCACAGCTTCCCTGAGCAAATATAAATGTAAATTATGGTGAAATAATCATCCAAGTGACCCTGCTCAGATCCAGGTGAGAGCTTTGTCAGCCTCATCCTTGTGAGGGGGCAAATTGAATTATAGTGAAATAATCATCCAAGTGTCCCTGCTCAGATCCAGGTGAGAGCTTTGTAAGCATCACCCTTGTGATGGGGCAAATATAAAAGAGGAAATAAGTGTAATATAAATATATATATATATGTATATAAAATATATAATATATATTTTATATATAATAAGTGTAAATTATAGTGAAATAATTCAGATCCAGGTGAGAGCTTTGTAAGCATCGCCCTTGTGATGGGGCAAATATAAGTGAGCAAATAAGTGTAATATATATATATATATATAATAAGTGTAAATTACAGTGAAAGAATCATCCAAAGGGCCCTGCTGAGATCCAAGTGAGATCTTTGTGAGCATCACCCTCGTGATGGGGCAAATTAAATTATAGTGAAAGAATCATCCAAATGACCCTGCTCAGATGCAAGTGAGGTCTTTGTGAGCATCACCCTTGTGATAGGGAAAATATAAGTGCAAATTACAGTGAAATAATGATCCAAATGACCCTGCTCAGATGCAAGTGGGAGATTTGTGAGCATCATCCTTGTAATGGGGCAAATATAAGTGAGCCAATAAGTGTAATTTATATATATAACAAGTGTAAATTATAGTGAAAGAATCATCCCAATGACCCTGCTCAGAACCAGGTGAGAGCTTTGTCAGCATCACCCTCATGATGGGGCAAATATAAGTGAGCAAATTGTAAATTATGGTGAAATAATCATCCAAATGGCCCTGCTGAGATCCAGGTGGGAGCTTTGTGAGCATCACCCTCATGATGGGGCAAATATAAATGAGCAAATTGTAAATTATGGTGAAATAATCATCCAAATGACGCTGCTGAGATCCAGGTGGGAGCTTTGTGAGCCTCACCCCTGTGATGGGGCTGGCCCAAGGCAGGCAGGTGCTGCAGGAAAGCATCCACTGCCAGATGTGGCACATCCAGGTGCGGCTGACGCCTTTCCCTGTCCTCCACAGTCTGTGCTGGGAGCCCTCATCGCTGTGAACCTGAAGAACTCCCTCAAGCAGCTGGCTGACCCCTTCTACCTGTGGAAGAAGAGCAAGCTGGACTGTGTGAGTGCCTGGGCTGGCGGGAGGCATCACCTGGCCAGGGCTGGAGGAGAGGGACAAACCCCAAAAAAGCCTTTAATGGGGTTTTGGGGGTGTGAGCCCCTTGCAGGAGGTGGGTTTGGCTCTCTGGGTGAGGCGGTGCTGCCTGTGCTGCCCAGCTGAGCACGCTGCTGCTCAGAGCACATTTCAGAGAGGCCTGAACTCTTACCTGCTGTGTTGAAATGCCAATCAAGAGCGGAGCCTGTTTGCCCAGAACTCGCCAAACCGGCCCTGCTCAATGTCTGCGAGTCACGACTTAAAAACTCACACAATGGCCCTCCAGGGCGAGGAGAGCCCTTCAGAGTGATAAGGACTCCAGGCACTGGTTGATGTATAAACCCAGGCAGGGGGTGGCGGGGGAGTGGGAACGGAATTTGGAAATGTCTGACATAAAAAGAGAGTGTTTGAACAGGACTCCCACGGCTGAGTGCCGTGTGTGGACACGGAGCCAATATCCTGTCAGGGCCCAACAAAACCCCTTATCAGGGCAATCAGGAGGAGTCCATGAAGAGCTTTCCCAAAATCCTGCTCAAACAAGTGCTGGGTTATCAGTTTGGGCACATCTCTGAATGGGTTTTGCTGCTGTGGGGTGAGAGGGGAGCTCTGTGGGCTCTGGCAGCTCAGCTGCTGCCCCTTTACCAAGCACAGATGGACCCCACAGCCTTCAGAGACCCCAAAACCTGGGCAGAACCCTCAGCACGGACTGATGGAGATGGATGGTGCTGCCTGAGGAACATCCTGGCAGATGCCAATGGAGTGAACGGGGTTCCCCTGACCTTAATCTCCTTGGAATTTGAACTAGATTCAGTGTCCTGGCCCAAAATGGGGAGCACCATTCCTGGGTGATGTCAGGGCGTTGGTGTTCATCACCTCAATGCTGGTTGTGTTTCAGGACAGCTGATTCCAACCAATTCTAATGATGGATGGATGGATGGATGGATGGATGGATGGATGGATGGATGGATGGATGGACTCATTTTCCCACCCATTTTTCCCATCCACTTTTTCCATCCATTTTCCCCGTCCATTTATGCACAAAATTAACATAAATTAAGATATTGAAGTCCTCAAAGTCACCCTTATTCATCCAAGGTCAAAGTTAGTTTTTATTCACGTTGAGGATGGGATTAAAACAAGCTGATAATGATTTTCAGAGGGGATGTTTCAATGCAGGGCAGGACTGATGTCATACGGAGTGAGATGCTTGAGTGCTAACAGATAAAAATGACAAATGGCAGAGCTCTGAGCTGGAGTGGGGCAGGTTTTGGTCTCCTCTGTCACATTAAATTCTCTCTGTGTTCAGGCCATTTCCAGCAGGTGCTCAGGCAGTTTTCAGAGAGAGAATTTCTGATTTTTTCTGAACTGCTCTGGCTGACAGCAGGAGCAGGGAGCAGCAGATGGTGGGATCTGCAGGAGCCCCTTCCTGACGAGCCAGAATGATCCTTTTTGGGTGGAACAAGCAGAGTGGGCACTCGAGCAGCCATGGAGAAACGCCCTGGCTGCTTTTGTGGCTGAAAAGGAACTGGGGCTCCTGGCAAACTGCCCAGCAAGGACGGTTCACTCTAAAACATGCAGCAACTGCAGCGTTAGAACAGCTGCAGAATTCAGGGTTTGGCCTATTCATGTTGAGTTGGGAGGGTTTGAGAGCTCAGGATAGCAGCACAGAACCATTCCCCATCCATTTTTCCCCTCCATATTTTTCCTCTCCATTTTTCCCATCCATATTTTTCCCCTCCACTTTTCCCATCCAAATTTTTCGCCTTTACTTTTTCCCTCCATTTTCCCCCCTCCA